GGGGGGGGGAGAAGAGTGAGACAGAGGAAGATGGATGCACGCATGCATACTGTACTCGTGCGTAAACGTGCGTAAAGCCAAAAGTGTCTGAGCAGACTCGGTTTGCTTTGGAGTCTGTCTGTTTATGACAGACAGCGCTTCTCTTTTGTTTATCACACAATGTATGTTTATACTACTGCGCATTGTAGCATCAATCAAAATATAGATCTCCCTCAACATTTAACACCTCAACTGTCATGATGAACTTTTACTCGATACAATCGACTAATAACTTCTACTAATGTCTATTTGAGCTGCTATTGACAGTCTCGCCACATTGACTTCTAATTGATCCCTCCACATCACTCAGGCTGTCTCCTCACTCACCTGCAAGCCTCAGCGCTGACATCCGCTGGAACTCGGGCTCCTGGAGCCACTTCCACATCCTCCTGAACGTCTCTCGGCCCGACTTGAGTTTACTCCAAGGTTTAGGATTCCGCAGCAGGTCAGACAGAGTTCCCTGGGACCGACACAAGATCCTCTGAGCAAAGATGGCCTGGGGGATGCTGTAGCGCTTGAGCTCTGCTGTTATTCGCTGTGCCACCTCCTTGGTGTTTATCTCTTCCACCTGCCCTGACCCAGCACCTTGCCCGCCTCCCACCACCGTCTGCCTGTCTCGGTCTGAGAGCATGGATCCGTTTGCCTGAGAGTGCGGATGGCTGTGATGGTGTATACCGTTCAAGGAGGTCATTAGCCCGCCCCCGTGACCCCCGAGACCGCGGGCCAAGTGCTCTTCACCCCTGGACAGCATGGCTGCGTGAGACTCGAACCCCCCCGTGGAGAGCATCTTGTCGTTGGAGAGGTGAGCTCCGGGACCGTAAGCGCTGAGAGTCTGCTGGGAGCTGTGCAAAGACCCGAGCCCGTTGGACAGGGGCGACAAGGGCTGCCCCATCCCGGACATATCTTTGGGGTAGTGGCCATAGAGGTTACTCATAGAGGCGAGGCTTCGGTCGTCTCTCATCAGGGTGAAGCTGCCGCTGACATTCCCAGCTGCAAGTCTCTGGTGTGCTGGATGGTGGTGAGCATGCGGGTGTGGATGGTGAAATTTCTCCGAGACCGTGGATATGGGGGGCAGGTGCTGTAGCGGCGTCAGCGTTGTGTAGGTGCTGCTCAGGCTCATCCCGGAGTCGCACGACATGGTCATAGCCGGATGCAGGGGGCCAGACAAAGCGTGGTCTGGGCGATAGTCCCCCGCTCCCTCCAGTATCGAGGCCATGCTGGACACCATGGCTGACCGCCCGTGCGACACCAAGTTCCGATGCGACGCCGACGACTGGCGCGCGTGCGGGGAGTTCATTAAGTCGCTGGTTTGATGGGAGTGAGATACACCGTGCAGATTTCCGATGTTTTCCATTGTCAGCTCCATCGTTGAAAGGATCTTTATTTCCACCCCTCGCGCCACTCTCTCGCTCTCCCTCTCTCTCCCTCTCCCTCTGTCGCTCTATCTCGCGCTCCTTTCCAATAAATTTGAAACGATTTCAAAGCCAAGCCATTGATTGGAGTTGCCTCTCCGCAGTCAATCCAGCATGGTTTTAAAGGATCGGGTCCCGGCCGCCAAACAAACCGCTGCTCGGTGCGTGAAGGTGTCTGCGCCTGCCTAGTTTCTCTCCGCTGAGCACCTTCTACTATACCCAAAGCGCTGCTCTGCTCGCTGTGTGTATATTGACGTGCCCGCGCTCCTGTTAAAATGAGACCGAGCCTGTGCGCAAGTGCGCGCCCCCGTGGCCTATCCTCGCACTCGCGAACCCTGTCTGGGGCCAATCTGACGTCACTGGCCCCCGTGTCAGGGCTCGCTCGCGTTGTAAAGCGTGGACCCTCAAATCCTCGAAAAGATTGCGTTAGACGCGTTAGATAAAAGACAGAATGCGCAACATTTACACTCAGATGGATAAGAAGGACCCGCTCCTTGTTTTGTCTGATAAAAGTGTTTGACAGGCGCCAGCAGCACATGTGATAGCTGTGTTGGAGGTTAAACATGACGCGTGTCACAACAGATCACGAGGGCAGGTAAAAAAAGCACATCTGGAAGTGCAAGTCATGCCTAACAGTCTTGGTTTTTCCAACTGTAAATTAAGCATGCGCTATTTAGTACTACATATTCAAAGGATTGTGTTTATATAGACAATAAAATATTTAACAGTGTAATAAAACGTGTGAATTACAGCCTTAAGACCCGTGTCTGACCTTTGACACGTACTTTACAGCCACTTTCCTAAAGCACACATCTGAAATTTTTGCTTATACTCATAACTTTTTTAAAGAAAAGTTTTGGGGTTTTTTTTCCTCTAGCAAATGTTTCTGAATAAATTTGTCGAGCTTTATTTCATCATTGCCTCCAGGCTTTGACCCCTTTCGCTTCTTTGCTCCACGAATTCAGGCCACGAAAATCAAACTCTCACACAAATTCCGACATGATATCCCTTCAAAACTTCTGCGTAAAACTTGCTTGCTGCTCGCTGGTGTCAATCCAGTTCAGCAATCTATCAATATCAGCGTATGTATAGATCAGGGGATCCATCGATAGGTTGTTGCCTATTGCAGAGGCCCGCAGTATGGATACCATATAGCAGCTAGTTGAGATCGAGTGATTGGATTGTGTGAAATGGGAGAAATAATAGGTCGTGGAGAGCATAAAACTTCACCGAGGTCGTTAAATACTTTTTCAGCTACTATAAGCACCGAGTATATTTATTACGTTGTGTACTGCTGCTTGTCACTAAGTAAAATCTGTCGCACACATAACTAATAATTCAATAATCAATTTGTTAAAGCACGCACAGCGTTTTTGACTTGATGACCTGTTACAGTGGTGATTTTCCGTTACGTCACTAAATGCCCAAAATTTACCGAATGAGTCTATGGCAACGTGAAGTTCAGTAAAAAAAGAAATAAATAAAAAATAAAATAAAATAAGAATAAGTAATACATGTTATTTATTTTATATAAATAAATAGATAAACAGGTGCATATAATAAACTGCCGTGTGCAGTCTATATATGCAGTTGTGTGAGCCTACATGAAATTTGCTCATTAATCTCCTCAAATCACAACATAAACACCTCTGTGTGTGTGTGTGTGTGTGTGTGTGTGTGTGTGTGTGTGTGTGTGTGTGTGTGTGTGTGTGTGTGTGTGTGTGTGTGTGTGTGTGTGACAGTAACCAGCAGTCCTGTGTAAGTCGTTAGTTGCTGCACTCTGTGAACACAGTTATCAAGTGAGGAGCCATGGCATTTACACCGATGTTATGTAAAATGAGCCCATTAGGATTTCGACCCGAAGCTGGGGAAAAAATAGTCTAACACTCCAGAAAGTGGCATCACTAATCATTTGCAAATTGCATAAAATAATTTCCCTGAGCAGTGTTTACCAACTGTTAGGTCACGGCCATCCATTACTTCACTGATGAATTGTGATATCACCGTGGCCTTGGCACACAGCTCTCCTGCAAAGGATGACCCTAAAAACTGTGTCTTTGCTGATTGCCAACGGGGGATGGTGGCTTTTGGCTTGTGCCATCAGGAGAACAGCAGTGTCCGCTTGGGTTAATGTCCCTGTATTGATCCCAGCAACCACTGCTATCGAAAATGAATTACCGAAGCCCGCACAGCAGCGAATCCGTCATCTGTGCTCAGCCAGCCGGCCAGAGCAGCTTATTGGTCGCGGTGGTGATGGATGTTAACTTTCATTGCTGGCTCCCTGCTCCTAATTCACCAGGGTTTACAACCCAAAACAACGCGCTGAAAAGTTTTATGCTTTCACCAAGAACTTGTAAACTCAATAGCTAAAGCTCGCCCTTCGTCTGTCAGTCTTCTTTCAAATCTGAGTCTGTTATTAGGCCACATGTGCGGGTCATCTTTACTCAGGTGAGGCCTACGACTCCAGCAGGGCGTGGGGAAGTGAAGTGATCAGGACACGTCGCGTATTCCAGACAGTTCAGACAGTTCTTTAGTTTTGAGCGACTTCATCAAACCTCGTTCACAGAAAGCCAAAATAAAATTTGAATTGAAAAAAACAGCCATTCCCCCGACCCCCCCTCAAAAATCCATGCATCCGCCTAGAGCTTAGTTTTAATTTGTATTTTAATGTTCTCTTTTCGAATACCCAAATAAGCATATCCTATGGCAAATACAATATGAAATATTAACTGTGTCAATACCTGCGGTGTGACTGGGGCGATGCTGCGCAGACCCGGTGATTTATTTCATATTAATAATAGCGGGCGAGGCGGTGGCCTCAGCACCACGTTGGCATCGACTTTACACACACACACACACACACACACACACACACACACACACACACACACACACACACACACACACACACA